CCTTTGGCAGCTCCAGAATCGGAAATTCTTTTTGACATAATTGAAAGTTCAAGCTTACTTTTATAAAATTGCTCTAACAGTATGCAGAAAAATAATAAGCTGGATCCAATATGAAGATTAAGGAACAACACAATCTGCAACATTAACTGAAATATATAATTAGATAATTTTAGCTTAGCTTATACTGTCCGTTATACATTGAACGTGCATGCTTAAACACATATGCACATGTGTAAAGGTATTACAGAAAGCTTGTAGCTTTGAGGTCCAGATTTTGGACATCCGAATTAAAGCTTTTTGACTGTATTAGTATTTGTATAAAGCCATATCTGTTCAGTCTGCCCGAGATGTGCAAAATAATTGTATGTTAAGTACTTCATTTATTATATTCTTTAAAATATTCTAAACTTCATTGTTTTTTATGTTAATCCACATTTATACTTATATTTATATTATTAATGTAATTTAAAATGTATTAATTGCTTTTGGGTATGACATACCTAGCATGCCTTCTTGTGTTCATAATTTTGGCGCGTGTGCTCGCGGGTTAATTTCACTTCAGCAGTAAATAAAACACCTTCATGTTGAAGGAACATAATAATTTATTAGCATAAATCTGTATGATAAATAATTTGACCTTTTAACCACTTTATTGTTCAGCATACGCCTCCAACCAATACATTCGATCAAAGTTTATCACTCACTTTATGGCTACTGAATATCATATAATCCTTAAGCCCATCTAGCAAATAATTAGTCCAAAGGGACAATTTGCCCTGAAGGACTATTAATTTTGTTTTGGCATTTTGTGTTGAAAACTTTAAAAGGCTGTATCACATTTAAAATCGTTGCCACCATATATTATCGCACTGTCTCACATTTAAAGAAATTAAATAATGAAGAATCTGCATAAAATGAATGTATGTTTCTCGCATTGTGACAAAACAACGGTAGCCAGAGCCATCAAGATTTAAATAACATAATCTTCCATAGTATTCTGTAGGCATTTGGAAGCCCTAATTTGAATTTGAAATTTGTTTCATTATCGATTTCATATTTTGTAACACTTCAACGAATTTTTGATTAAAAACTAAACGATATCAAAGCGAGCAATGGCAACACAGTGTGAAAAAAACATTTTTATCTCCAGCATGTGAGATTCTGTATCGGAAATTGTAAAGATATGCTCATTTTAAAATTAATTTGCAATATTACTGTTGAACTTAATTTTATAGTTTGAGTACGTAGAACATGATATTTAATAAATAAAGGTAACATACAAAACGTTAAAAAAAATGCCCCTTAAGACGCAATTTAAAATCTGAAACCTTTCAGATTTTTTTTATTATTATTATTATTTTTACTTTTATCATTCTGTGATTAAGAACTCAGGACAGCTTGAGAAATGACTCACTGAGTGATGTCTAAAACAATTTTTGTTTTCAATACCAGTAATTGAATACTAACAGATGCTAAACTTACTCTGACATTATGCTTGGCAAGGATTACAGACTTTAATCAAGTGTGTTGCAAAGTGTTAAGCATGTTGATGAGGAGAAATTTAACAGAAATTTCTAGAAATAGATTTTGTGAATAATATTCATAGGTAATTTAGTACTGTTCCAATAAGCTTTAAGTGTACTTTTCCACCATGCACTTGCTGTGTGTCACAGGTGAGGGTCTATTAGACATCACCTAATATAATTCAGGCTTTACTTCCTCAGAACATGATGGGAGCCAGACAAATATTAGTGGAACAGCATGTCTGTAGTCGCCAATCTCATGATGTATGGATAACAGTGTATAGCTGATGCTTGCTAAGGTTTATGATGATGGCCACAATTTTGAAAGCTTTTGGGTATTACAAACAAAAAGTAAAATTTTCCACTTAATGAAGCTTGTGGAAAAATGGTAATAAATATAGTCGATATAAAAGTGTCATATTGCGATGACACTGCCACAATAATCGCTAAACTAAAGGATGAAGAAATCTGAAGTATAGTTAAATTTTGATCCAGAAAATAACATATCAATAGTGAAGAAAGTGATAGAGATTATTAACAAAAAATTTTAATTGGCAATTTAGTGAGAATTCTTGACCTGGTAATTACAGGACTTAGTAACTGACAAAAATGTTTTGTTTGTCTGTAACATTAAAGAAAAAGTATCAGCACGAAAACACAAAGCAACTTGAACGAGTTATATTGAAAGAAATGGTTAATAAAGCAAGTAAATAAATATTGAGCGCTCTTTTTTGTTGTTTTTAAATTTTGATTCCTTTAAAATCATAAATTCTTCATTATTTCATAAACAACTATTCCAAATTTTTAATTTTATAATTTCTACATGTCATCTTAATAGATTTAAACTGATGATCTAAAATCCGGGAAATTCTCAAATCCAGAATCTGTCAATTCTCGATGAGTCTGGATTGTGGATTCTGTACTGTAATTGTTATTTCCCTTTGTACATATTGTGTAATATTTTCATTTTTGGAGGTTACCATAAGTACTTTCTAATTTTTGCCAAATGAATTTTAAATTTTGCAAATTTTGCAAAAGCTTGTGTGATGGCCACCCTAGTAAGGAGGTGTTCCTCCAGTATTCTTATACAGTTAAAAGTCGTTAATCCGGACTCGTCAGGACTTCGGGGATTCCTCCGGATTATCAATTTTTCCGGATTATAGATCATCAGTTTAAATCTCGTAAGATGGCATGCAGAAATTCTAAAATTAAAAATATGAAACCGTAATTTATGAAATAAAGAACAATTAGGATCTAAAGGGTATCAAAATTTACAAAAGAAAAGCTTAATACTTATTTGTTTACTTTATTAAACATTTTTTTTAATGTAAGTTGTTTAAGTTGCTTCGTTTTATGTGATAATACTTTCTCTTTAATTCTATAAACAGACATAATTTCTTGTTCAATTACAAAGTTCCGCTGTTCAAGTCCCGTAATTGCTGTGCCGAGAATACCGACTAACTTGTCAATCAAAATTTTTTCGTTTTCACTAACCTCTCTGTCACCTTCTTCATGTCCTTATCCATTTTTTGCAACAATTCCACTTTTTGTTTGACGACGACATCGAAACATACTTTCGTTTTGTAGATCCTTTGGGAGCTCCAGCATTGGAAATTCTATTTGACATAATCGAAAGTTCAAGTTTACTTTTATAAAATTGCTCTTACAGTCTGCAAAAAATAAGCCGCATCCAATTCAAAGATTAAGGAACAACACAATCATCAACATTAACTGAAATAGATAATTAGATAATTTTAGCTTATACCGTCCGTTATACATTAAACGCGCACGCGAAAACGTATTCTGCGCTTGCGCAGTCGTAAAGGTCTTACGTGCACGCCTATGCTCATATGTCAACGCGGTGCATGCACAGAAAGTTTTTAGCTTTGAAGTCCGGATTATGGGTGTCCGAATTAACGACTTTTGACTGTAATTCATATATTTTTTCATGTTTTAATTCAGTAAATTCACCTAATAGCCTTTAATTCAGTAATTCACCTAGTAATTTCATCTTTTAATTCAGTGTTTAAAATACATGTGGTATTTTTAAACAATTTTTTTTTTTAAATATTTCTTCAGGTTTTTATCGGAAAAGGGAAGATAGTATGCAATCTTCATTTTTTCAATGAATCTTAATTTTTTTCAAGGAATACGGTGGTACTTTTCAAAATATGACTTGTTGCTGTGTCTTGGTGAAGTGTAAGTCTTAGAAAGGATAAGAAACTGGAATTTCATCTGTAAATATCAGATGTAAAACTTTCTCTTGGTAGTATATGTTGAATTGATTATTAACATTTTTTTCTACTCGTTTTAACCCTCTCAGTGCCATGACCGGCTTTATTCAGCCAGGAGATTTTTTTCTCACTTTTTATGTATTAAAATATTTTGCTTTCTTACTTTCTTTAATAATATAAGTGCCATCTTGATGAAAGTAAGTTTATGAAAATAGAAACTAAAATAAGTAAATATACAAATTTAACTAATAAAGGCTGTTTAAATACAGGTCTTGATGGCTGCTCAGAGGGTTAATTTCCCATCATAAGGGAAACTTGCAACAATCATAATCCCCTGACTGTAAATTTCTTTGCATTGGGAAGGATTGTAAATGTTTCCTTTTTGTTTTTTTATAATAAATATACCTTCTTTTATTGCACATTTAAGTAAATCCATGCTTCATCAAGGATCAGCATTTATTTCCTGCCAAATTTGAGTACTAAATATTTTTTAGTAGGATTTTATGAAGTAATGACTGACAGTTTTCCACTTTCTGATTAATAGTGTTATTTATTTTACACTTAAAGAAATTTTAATACCACACATTTCACAATGTTTTTGAATTGTGGAATAGGACTATTTCTCTTCAGAAAGTACAGAAATATATCCTTCAACTCACAGCTTGTTTACATGCAACATTTTTAAAGAGAAATAAATTTAAAAGTAGCAGATTGTATTTCTCATCTCAAATAATAAGTTTCTGCCAGAAATTTTTATTGCCTTTTTTACAAATTTTATATTAAAATCATTCTAAAAATATGTAAACACCCTCTGTAATATTAACAGCTATTTATTTAGTATCCTTTGGTTTTTTTAGCTCTAGTTCTTAATAATTTTTTTTCTCCTTATTGTCTTACCTGTAGTGAGCCATCAGTTTTGAACACTGATTCAGTTCCAGGTGAATGGGCTGGCTGCATGAGCATTTCCATGATTTTCCTCATGTCTAATGTGGGTATGAGCCAGTTTCCTTTAGAAAGTCCTTCATGAAGGCATCCCTTTCCTTAGGCAGATAGGTCTCGGTGTTTTGCTGTAATCAAATAAACCAAATCTGTAGTGTAATTTTTAAAAAAGTTTTGATTTCTGTTATTCAAATTGGGATGCAGTATAATTTGTAATTACATTTTTCACCTCATTTGTTAATAATTGTAATCACTATAACTATTAATTTTGCATTAGTTTTTTAAAACATTTTTATCTTATTAGGTATAATTTGCTATGAACAATGAATCCTTCTACAAGAAGAACAGGTAATTATCCTTGTTTATTTCATCAAGTGTTGTTGCATAGTGATAAAGCTGATGGGAAAAAGATCTATTCTGTACTAATTTCACACTGTCTTCTATGTGAGCCTTATGATTTTCTCTAATAGACAAATGACTTGTATATGGGATAGTTGTAGAGACGTAGTCACTTTATAATTTCTCGATAAAGCCAGCATCTGTATTCTGGTGTTTAAATAATATTAAAAGTATTATGTAATAAAATGGTATATTTGATTAAAACAACCCTAAATTCTCATACTGGAATTAGTTTAGGTATTACTGTATAAAAATATCTTAGTCTAGGGAAGACAATGTCATTTTACAACTCCATAATAACTGTATTAATACTTATTTTCTAAACTTCAACGAGTACTATATGAATTGCAATTACCTGTCATAATATTCATGAGGGTTGATGGTGGTATGTTACTTTGATAGTGTAACACTATGTGGTAACTGATGTTGGTTGTGTTTGTTAAGGTTACATGTTATTTACTGCACATAGAACAAAAATGCGTTCAGTATAAATCTGTGAAGAGTTCATTAAAAATACCTAACAACACATGCCATAGAAATGATTATTGTCAGTTGTTGTCCTCATTATGTGAGGATCTTGCTAGTGGCAAGTCTCTGTAGTCGAGAGTTAAAGAGCATTTTGAATTCTTGCCTTGTCTAAAACTGAATGAATTATGTAAGTGGGGCCATAACTGAATTGATATAAGTGGGCGATAACTGAACTGATATAAGTGAGGCTGTAACTGAATTACCGTAACTTCCGGAAGAAAGGCCGCATCAGCGTAAACGGCGCACTCGAGAAAAATGGCGGGAAAAAAATTCAAATTACACAGAAATGCCGTCAGCGTAAACGCCGCAATAGATTAAATTGCGCGTGACATCGTCGTGGGCCGTATAGATGCAAAAACTCAACCTAAGTCCTGATATATGACATACCAGTTAAGAAAAATGCATGAAATGAAACCATAACTCAAAAATAAATTAAAGGTAAGAAATTTGGAAAATATATTCACCTTCATGTATATACTTATATTTACCCACTTAAGAAGTCCATATTTGTAATACTCAGACTATATTATAAAAAATGTTGCAACAACAAAATATTAAATTTGGATGACAAAAGGAAATTTTAAATTTTACTTACGAATTACAGCAAACTATACACCATAAGAAGCCATCAAAATCTGATTCTTCACTATCTGAATTAAAAAGATTTAGTAAATCCTTATCTAAGTCTTCCAGATCGTCACATTCATCCTCTTGGTTTACAGTCTTTTTATCTAAGGATATAATTTCAGCTTCTTTGAACCCTGCTATTATTGACGATGTTTCTACCGATTTCCACGCACTTCCTGCCCACTTTGCAATTTCTTCATTTTGATGCTCTACGCATTTTACCGCTTTTGGTTTACGTATGCAATCCTTCACTCATACAACACTCCCACCACTTTCGGACTTCAGCTTTGAAGGATTTATTACCTGACAAATCTAACGGTTGTAAGATTTTTGTCAAACCACCAGGAATTATTGCTTCGGTCGTAGACAATTTTTGACATCTGGTTTTCACCGACTCAAAGAAATGAGCACGCATGGAATCCATTATCAATAACCCGTTTGGTTGGGGAAAAGATCCCATACGACACTGCCAAACTTTTTGTAGCCACTCATGCATGATTGTTTCGCACATCTAGCCGTTCTCGATTGTACAAATAATTACGTCATTAGGAAAATCTTCCTTCGGAATAGTCTTTCGTTTAAAAATGATCATCGGCTTTAGCTTGTCACCGTTTGCGGCACAAGCTAACACACATGTAAATGACGTTCTTTCATGCCCCGTCATAAACACAGATACAGTTTTTGCACCAGTTTCATCAACAGTTCTGTTTGCAGGAGAGTCGGAAGCTAACGGCATTTCATCCATGTTTATTATCTGTGACCGAAGAAGTTTTTTTTTGTCAATAATAGCTGTCACATATTTTAGAAAAGATGACTTTTATCCTGCCGGTCCATTGGTAATTGTTACCCGACTGTTGTTCTAGTACACACAGAAATATTTTTTCTTTTCATAAATCTGCTACACCTCCTTTGAAATCATTTATGTTCATTCGTTTTGCTATAAATTTTGCTTGTAAGCGAATTTTTACAGTCGAAATTGCCATTCCCTTTCCTCGTTGCTCCTTTATCCAGTTTGCAAGGTCGTCCTCTAGATTTGGCCACCTTACAGTGCCACTTCTTTTGGCTCGTTTCTGTTGTGGCATATTTTTAAGAAGTTCTTTTTCAGTTCTCCAATGTCAAATACATCTGTCGTCCACTTCAAACTCTCGAGCTGCTGCTCGATTTCCAATTTGTTCAGCACGTGAAATTACATTAAGCTTAAAACCAGCAGTTTAGCTTCTGTGCCATTTAGGGACATTTTCAAAAATTTTCCGCTCCCTTCTTACTTAAAAACTATCCAACAAGTACTTGTACCCAAACTGATGGGATCTGTATCTGGCAGAATGCCAAGAAAAATCCATTCATGCTGAAAGAGAAATACATCAGAGTTCGTTATTGCGAGGCAGGTGGAGTCGTGTCCACCTTTGAAAACAATTGCAAAAAAGACTGGGGTGGGGAGATGATGGAAGATTCATCGAATGGCAGAGGAAAGAAACTATTCAAACTGATGAGAATGTTGATTTGAAAGGGGGAAGAATGTTATTGTTCTGTGATCTCGTTTAGGGTGAATAAGGCATGTAGGTCTGTTCAAGGGAAAGAATGTAAACAAAATAACGTTCGCAAAAAGCAACGGAGTGGTCTTTTGTGTGGGAACAGCAACAGTCTATGCACAATGACAAGGCCATCCAAACTATGTACAATGACCATCTTAGGAAATATTTTATTTTTAGGGCACCTAAACACCGCATGGGTAGAAAAGCCGCACCCGCTGAAAATTTAAGTTTTAAACATGTAAACGCTGCGGCGTTTCTTCCAGAAATTACGGTATTGCTTTTGCAATGTTAGAGCCTGTCATCTTGCACCACATAACAGCTTGAACACAGCAACCTGTAGGGGTGTGGCTGTCCTTTACCCCTTGTCTTGGTGAAGTCCACCACACATCTATCCACTTTTAGCACAGAATAGAGCATGGACAGATCATGGAATGAAGTCTAGTCATGTATTGATCCAAGGGAATATGATCTTTTATATCTCAGATGGTAGCCCATAATGAACCTACAGGTGTTGATGCAGGATCAACGACTTAATATGCCCATTCTATAATATCCCACAATTCTTGTGTGGCATTAAAATCAGTACTATTTTGGTTATTTGATTCTATTGGTGCATTTTTGTATGATGTTCCTTTAAGTGTAATCTTTCCTCAGTGGCATTACATACGACCTTCTTGTGTTATACAAAGCCATTTGTATGAAAGTGTTGTATCCTGGTATGCACTTATCTCATAATAGATGTTATATTTCAGCCTATATACAAGGGCATGATCTATGTACCTTTTATGTGTTTTAGGCTGTCCCTAAAATGAGGACAATCAGAAACTGTCATTAAAATGTCTAGTGTAATTTTTTTTAAGACAGATGTATGTCCTGTAAAAAAGAATAAATATTTGTTAATTTTTATTTTTCATTTATAATTTTTCTACTAAACTTCAGTATTTTATTGACAGTTATACTTTCAAATTAAGGTAAAAATTGTAGGTTAAAAAATGAGGCTTTGTAATTATATTTATTATTGGATTTATGTTATTCATGGATAATCCAAGATTCTGCATACTGTAAGGCAAATTTATTTCAGGTGGTCCCAGAAGACAGAAAGGCATGAGGCCTAATAATCCTCCAGAATATTCATATGGCCAGTTTAATCCTGGGCCACAATTATTTGATGACACTAGTGGTGGTTTTGCACCACAGTATCCACCAGGTCCTGCTCCAGGTAAAATCCAATGTTTTGCATTTATTTTTCATTTAATAAGAGTGTTTGGTATTAGTGTTAAAGTAGGGAAGTTCTTTTTAGTTATGTTTTTATATTACTATACACTAAATTTTTTTTTTTTGAAGTGTAAAATACACTGAAGGTCAATTGCTATAGATGAATTACAAACAGCTACATAGCGCATATAAAAAGTAAGGGTGGTTGCACTGCAAGTGAAATAAAATAATGCTAGGACAAAATGGTCATTTTGTGCTGAATGCGTAAAAGTAAAGGGAAAAAAAAAAAAAAAAAAAAATGCAATTATGCACAGGCTTTCTGGTGTAAGATGTCAATGTAGGGTATGGCTACCATGGGAGGTGAGGTACCATAGGGTATGGCTACCACAAGATTCCACAAGATTGAGTGGGATTCAGATCTGGAAAACGTGCTGGCCATAAGAAGCATTGAATAGCCTTGTTCTCTTGACACTCCTGGACAGCAACTGTTCGATGACATGTTACATTGTCATCCATGAAAACAAATTTATCACCAACAACACCTTAGAACATGCAGACAGGAAGTAGCAGAGCATCATTAACATATCTCGAGCAGTTTTAGACCCAGTTGGAAGCATATACAGTGAAGTATGGCCATTGATCATGATCCCAGCCCATACCATGACACTATGTGTAGGATACTAGTTAATTTCCTCTATGTTTGCTGCACTATATGCAGTACCACTCTCATACCATATCATCTGGCATCTACAGTCCAATGACAGATCGAACCTACACTCAACTGAGAATAGTACTCAAGCTCAGTCATTTTCCCTCCAATTGCAATGCTGATGACACCATTGCAGAGGGTGGAATGGTATGTCTAGATAATGGAATACACACAGTAGGATAGTGGGCCTATAGTCCTACTTGGTACAAACGTCTGGATAGAGATTTTTGGGAAATTAGCTTGCCAGTAGCAGTGATAACTGATTTGCCACCTCAGTAGCTCTGCTGCGACGGTTCCTTTTTGTTGATAGCACTATGTACTTATCTTCTGCAGGCATTGTATTATGAACATGACCTCCCCTGGAACATCTGCTACACATTCCATTTCTTTGAAATGATTTCCAAAGCCTTGAAACAACACTATGGTTGATGGAGAACTCTCTACCAACATCTGTTATTTTGTGCACTTCTTCAATCTTGTCAATAATATGGCCATACGTAAAATCATATAAGTGATGTAGTGATCCACAAACATACAGAAAATTCCAAGTTCATCGATTGATTCTTTCCCATTACATTTTGTTTTTGAACAACAGCTGTCAATACACGTCAAATACTTTATATCTATTATCAGCACTATCACTTGACACATAATTTTCGGCAATTCAAAATTTGTGTATGCACTGTACATCTTACTACCACACATATGAGAAATTCCACATTTCCTTGCCTTTCATTTTGTGGGTGCTCTTGCTGATACTATCATCTGTCCTTAGCAATTGTCCACCGATGTATTATGGATTTATATTTAAAAAATATTTGTTTTCAATAAAAGTTTTGTGTATTTCCATGTTCATAAAGTTGTATTTTTATTATTTTAAAGAGCTATATGTTTTTTTCCCTTTCGTTCCAAATAGTACAAAAACTTCAAATTAATCTTTTTTTTTTTTTTTTTTTTTTTTTTTTTTTTCTTTTTTTTTTTTTAAGCCACAAAATTTTTTTTTTTTTTTTTTTTTTTTTTTTTTTTTTTTTTTTTTTTTTTTTTTTTTTTTTTTTTTTTTTTTTTTTTTTTTTTTTTTTTTTTTTTTTTTTTTTTTTTTTTTTTTTTTTTTTTTTTTTATTTTTTTTTTTTTTTTTTTTTTTTTTTACTTCCTAATCAACAGCCATTTTTTTTTTTTTTTTTTTTTTTTTTTTTTTTTTTTTTTTTTTTTTTTTTTTTTTTTTATTTTTTTTTTTTTTTTTTTTTTTTTTTTTCACACAAACAAGTCTTTACAAATCTTTTCCCATCAAATTCAAATTAATCTTACCACATTCAGCCACAAAAAATTTACCATGTAATAAGCCACAAAATAACAACAAACTTCTTTCACAAGCCAACAGCCAAACAAAATTTACTTTTTTTTCATCATTCAAATTCACCGAAATCATGCAACCAATTACGTTATAATAGGTTTTCCATAGCATTCAACCACTCAGGTTACCATAAATGAAACAATGGCTTCGCGATAAATTAAACAACTTGGTGATAAAATGAAACAACAAGTTAGCAATAATCCAAGGAGCACCTTTAAATATATTCTAACCGTATTTTTTGTAACAAAATTTAGGATTAAAAATAAAAATACTAAAAAAAAAAAAAAAAAAAAAAAAAAAAAAAAAAAAAAAAAAAAAATAGTGGACTAAAAATCAGAAAAAAATAATTGATATAGGAATCAAAGAAAGTATATTGATATCAATATATTAATTAACCATTTATTTATTTTTTTAAATCAGGAATGAATACTAGTGGTTGGGATCAGAGTTACAGTCATCCATCATTTCCAGGACAGCAACTTTTGACAGATCCTATGGCTTCCATGGCTATGCAGTATGGCCAAACTATTGCTGGCCAAGGCAAAATTATGGTAGAAGAAAAGGTATAACATATGTATTAGAATTACTGTTTTCTGTTACTTAAATTTACTTAGTGTTAATTAATTTTCATGTAATATATTCTTAGTTACATACAAATTTGTTTTTCATTACTAACCTTTTAGATGTCATATTTAAGTTCTACGTGTAAGCAAATAATAAGAAAACTCAGTGAATCTTCTATGATGATCTGTGAGCCCATACATGATTTCTGAAAAATCCTTAAGTATGCAATGCAGATATGTATAATTTCTGAAAAGTCATTCAGTATGGATTGTAGATATGTATGTGTATATACTGCATGTTTTACTGCATGTTTATGAACTGCCTTGTGTAAGAGTTGTTTTTGCACCCTCTCTCTATGAATGTAACCTTTATAGTGTATTTTTATGATGTATGTTAAAAATTTAATTATATGAAAGTTTTGGAGATTACTAAGGTAGTGTTTATTTTTAGACTTTATTTTCTTGTTCAGTGCAGTGCTGTCTGCAGTTTAATTTTGTTTATACAGGTGTTGAATGAAATAATTTTGTTAAAATTTTTGCCATTTAATTTTTAAATAATTTGAAATTTAATTGGTATAGCCCCTCTCAACATGTGTGTCATAGTGAGCCTGGCACAATGGCAGCGATAACTATCCTAATAGAAACTGGTTTGTGAGCATCTGGGTCTGAGGAGTTTGCTTGTCTACCTAAAGAAGTCAGGGGTGTGAGAGTATCTGAGGGAAGAGAAGATTTTTTGACTATGGGGTGAGAGTAGAGTTCTGGTTTGGAGGGGTGACATATGAAATGAAATCAACTGCATATATTAGGGAGTAATCTGTTGTGTTTAGAAAATGAGGCCCTCCCCCAGTGTTTGAGTTCCAAAATTTTTATATTTAGGAAAACTGTGCTAGGCTTATTCTTGGCATACAGATAAGTAGAGATTTTATGTTACTGTAGATAAGCATAATTTGTAAATATAACTGTAAATAGAACTGTATTAAATATTAAAAAATTTCAGAATGTTAATTTTATTTTATTGTAATTTACTATACATTCTATGTCAGAACCCTTAGCAGTTAGGTGTGTAAAGAAATAATATCTTGCAATAAGTTTGAGTTTTGCTCACGAAAATTAGTATTTTATTCTGAAAATTTAAATTTACACATCCCAGCTTACTCTTTTAATAATTAATGATTGGCCCACAGCACCTGCCTCCGAGAAAAGGTGGCATTTATTACCTGACAAGGACTTTAGCAATTCAAGGTGATGCCATTTGGATTATGTAATCTGCCAGTAACATTTCAATGCCTCATGGAGACCATGTTAAGTGGTCTTTCCTATGAAGCCTGTCTAATATAATTAGATGACATCATTATTGCCGAAAAGTGTTTTGAAGAAAATTTCAAAAATGTTAAAATATTAGGAAGGTGTTTCAGAAATTGATAGAAGCTAATCTAAAGTTAAGTCCTGCCAAATATAAATTAACTTACCTTGCTTATGTCATCCTTGCCAAGGGTAAGTGCACAGATCCAGAAAAAGCATCAGCAGTTAAAGATTGGGCACATCAAATGAGAATGAGAAGTTTCCCATCAAATGAGAAGTTTCCCGGAGCTTTGCTCCCACTACAGGTAATTTATGAAGGTTTTTTCTTCCATAGAAGACTCTTTCTCAAGTTAACAGGAAGTTAGAAAAGTTTTTGTTGACGAAAGAATGTGAGGATGTATTTAATAAAACGAAAGAAGCTGTAACATCTACGACAATCCTGACGCATCTTCAGCTCAATAAATCATTTATTCTTAACACAGATGTGAGCAATGAGAAGGTCACTTCTGTTTTATCCCAACAAAAATAAATGGTCAAGAACATGTCGCAGTGTACAAGAGCTAGTGTCTATCTAAACCGGAGAGGAATTACGGTGTCAACAAAAAAGAATTGCCCGCCATTGTTAAAGCAGTAGAACACTTCCATCATTATCTCTATGGCAGGGAAATTCGTGCTCTGCACAGATCATGTATCATTGACCTAGCTTTTAAATTTCAAGAATCCTGGAGAACAAATAGCCAAATGGATATGGAGACTCCAGGAATATGACATAACCATCCGTTATTGTAAACAATCATAACATGGAAACGCCGATGCTTTTAAATTTCAAGAATCCTGGAGAACAAATAGCCAAATGGATACGGAGACTCCAGGAATATGACATAACCATCCATTATTGTAAACGATCATAACATGGAAACGCCGATGCTTTGTTTAGAAACCCTTGCCCAGAAAGCTGCCGTTATTATTCCTAGGTTAAAGCAAACTACGAACTAAAGAAAACTACGAGAACAGGAACAGGTATAATCCGGTCGTACATCAAGTTATGAATTCAACATCATCTGATCCAGACCCATGGAGTAGTCAGTAAAGGCCAGTTGGAAGACAAAGGCATTAAATGCATAATTGATTTAATGGAATCTTCAAATAGAAAATCTACATGACAGGACATTTCCATCTACTGTTTTGGACAATTGGGCTCTCTGGAACTCACTCAATATTTGAAATGGAATCTTATACTCGAAGTTTGAATCAGATGATGGAAAAGCACTCCAATGACAGCTAATATTCCCAAGATCATGGATACTAGACGTCCTTAAGGAACTATAGAACAGCCCTACAGGAGGCGTACTAGTAGCTCAGTACTCGTCGGCCTATCGAGGATCGTTATCCCAGTGTGAATTGCCAGTGTAACTGAGAAGGCGAGAGTTATTAAGAAATGTGAAGTGGTTGCATCATGTACTCCAGTGACCAGCATTAAATGAAATAATAACACTTCAGAATCCGTGTCTTCAGAGAGCATTATATCAGTGTTACTGCAAAATGTACAGTTGAGTGATGAAGAGAGGAATGCTGCCGAATGTATCATTCAAGATCTTCAAGATGTTTTCTCCAACTCATCTGCTGACATGGGTCGAACTAGTTTGACACAGTATAAAATCGATACCAGGGTTCATCCACCAGTTAAGCAACATCCAAGACGTCTACCGATTGCTAAACAGGAAGAGGTATAAAAACTTCTAAAGGATATGGAAGAAGGCTAGGTCACCAAGCCTTCAGCAAGTCCATGGGCATCTCCCATTGTCCTCGTTAGAAAGAAAGATGGTTCAACAAGATTGTGCATTGACTATCGCTGATTGAATGAGGTTATGAACAAAGATAGCTACCCCCTTCCTATAGAATTGATGACATTCTGGACATTCTTTCTAGTAGCAAAAGGTTTTCGACACTTGATTTAAGGAGTGGGTATTTGAAAGTAGAGATACATCTTGATGATAGAGAAAAGACAGCATTTACTACTAGACAAGGACTTTGGCAGTTCAAGGTGATGCCATTTGTACTATGTAATGCACCTGCAACATTCAAACGCTTCATGGAGACTGTTTTGAAATGTCTTTCCTACAAAGTCTGCCTGATATACCTGGATGATATCATCATTGGAGAGAATTTTGAAAAACATCTAGAAAATCTTTAAAAAGTGCTTCAGAAACTGAGAGAAGCAAATCTAAAGTTGAGTCTTGCTAAATGTAAATTATTCAGACTGGAAGTGACTTATCTCAGACACGTCATCTCTGCTGAAGGTGTGTGTACGGATCATGAAAACGTTTCAGCAGTTAAAGGCCTGGAGATGCCCTAAAAATTTCATCAGTTAAGAAGTTTCCTGGGGCTTTGCATCTACTCTAGGAGATTTGTGAAGGACTTTTCTTCCATCGCAAGACCCCCTTACAAACTGACAGAAAGCAAATAAAGGTTCTTGTGGACAAATGAATGTGAGGATTAACCTTGAAGGAATCTTAATTATCGGCTCCAGGCCTGGCATATCCTCAGCTCAACAAACTATTTATTCTCAACACCTATGTAAGCAATGATAGTGTCTCTGTGCTGTTTTGTCCCAAGAAATAAATGGCAAAGAATGTGTCATAGTCTATTCAAGCAAATGCTTTTCAAAACTGAAGAGAAATTACTGTGTCGCCAGGAAAGAGTTGCTCGCCGTAATTAAAGCCATAGAACATTTTCATCATTTTCTCTATGGCAGAAAATTTCCACTCCATGCTGAGCATGCTTCGTTGATCTGGCTTTTAAGCTTCAAGAATCTTGAAGGTCAGATTGCCAGATGGATACAGAGACTCCAGGAATATGACATTACTATCTGTCATCGAAAGGGATCATCACACAGAAAGCTGACACCCTGTCTGGAAGACCTTGCCCAGAAAGCTGCCGATATTGTTCCAGGGTCAAATTGAAATACGAACTGCTTAATCCAATCATATGACAAATTACAACATCAGCTGACTGAGACCCATGTAGAAAAGACCAGCTGCGAGATGGCTAGATTAAACCCATAATTGATTTAATGGAGTCTTCAAACAGAAAACATACCTGTCAGGACATTTCAATCTATAGTCTGATGACAAAACAATACTGGGCTGTCTGGGACTCCCTCCATATTCAAAATGGCATCTTATACCGAAAATTCGAGTACAATAATGGTAAGGTTTTCTGATGGCAGCTGATACTTGCAAGGTCCTGGATCCCCGGCATCCTTAAAGAACTACATAGCAGCACTACAGGATGCAACTTCGGAATAATGAAGATCTTGCAGAGAGTTCATGAGCACTTCTATTGGAATAATGCAAAGGATGACTTGCAAAAGTGGTGCCGAACTTACGATGCCTGTGCAGGTCGGAAAGGACCGAACAAACGCAGCCAAGGCAAGCTGCGACGTTACAATGTAGGAGCACCTTTTGAGCGTATCACCTTTGACATCTTGGGACCTCTACCACAAACTTCTGATGGCAACAGATACATTCTCTTTGTCATTGATTACTTCACCAAGTGGCCTGAAGCATATCCTATTTAGAGGCTGTCACAGTAGTTGAGGTGATGATACAGCACTGGATTTCCAGGTTCGGAGTGCCTTTTCAGTTACATTCGGATCAGGGAAGGAATTCTTATAAAACACATTAAAATTTGTCTAAATTTAAATAAATGAATGTATTTTTAAAGTTTTATAAAGGAAGGGTTGGAAATGATCAGCTGGCAATGTGAAAGGTTTACATGGGGCCAAAAAAGGCTGAGAACTACTGTTCTAGAAGTTTAGACTTAAGCTGACTTAAGCTGAACTGAACTCCGAAAATAATAAAAGTTATTTGTATCAGCATAAAAGTGTATTTTGATGGATAGTATTTATTTATTTAATTTTATTTTACAGTTGGAGAAGTATGTATCCCTATCGAAAATGAAGTATTATTTTGCTGTTGATACTGGTTATGTAACAAGGAAAATTGGATTATTATTTTTCCCTTTTACTCATAAAGTAAGTTCAATTCTGTTTGAAGTTTGAATACTTTTTAATGGCATGCTTGATCAGCATTACACTTTTAGGTTCCACAAAGTTTTATCTTATGTTGTATTTTTCTTGTCTGTTAAAGAAGCTTTCCTAGACATTTTTAGTTTATTTTAAATATGTCATATAAAATATTTATTTTAATGCATTCAAAGCATTGTTTAAACATATGAAATAGGAACAGCTAATATTCATATAAAATTAGGCAAAACCACTGTGATTTTGTAGGAAAACTGCTTTATTTGTTTAGAAGAACAGTATAAGGGGAAGAGAGAAACACTTTGCCTATTTCCCTTGAATTCCCTGTGCATGAAATTAAATAATTTTGCCAATTTGCATGACATTAACATCAAAGTTTCAATTTTATTAATTTATTAATTACAATGCAGCCAAGGCAAGCAGCCAAGGCATTAATGAAATTAATGACTCCACTCTTGAAAACTGCTTTGATATTGTGATTATAATTCTTCATGTGGTACTCAAATTTGCATTTTTTCTCTTAAATCAGGACTGGGCAGTCCATTTTAACAATCAAAATGAACCTATACCTCCAAGATATGATGTAAATGCACCAGATTTATATATTCCCAGTAAGTGTGAATTTTATTCTTGTATATAATTACTGTGAATTCTAAATTTAATAATAAATTCATTTAAAAATACTGCTAAATAAAAATGTTATTAATTCTAAAATCTGAAGTTCTGTTGCATTTGTCATGCATGAAAAAGAGAGGAGAGATCAAGCATTAAAAAACATATCCTTCTTTTCTAGATGCGCTCTTTCATAAATAAGATTTAAAAATACTGAAGATTTTTCCTCGTTCATTTTGAAAATAATGTCCATAAATTGGTTCTAGGTTTATGTCATTTTCTTCCCCCTTTTCATTTAGAAGTAAACTAATGTTTTGCTATAATTATTATGAATGTGATATTACTACATCACTATAAATTGTGAAATAATTAATCGTTAGTTATATGTAGTATTTGAATTCTTTTATCAAAATAAAATATTTAATGTGAACTTTAAATGTGATGTGTTGTAAGATATTTCCTCCCTTCTTTCTGCTTGCCTTCATGGTGTTGTATTTGTATGTCTCCTTCCAGGAATTCGAGCTGGTATGGTCAGCGGATTTGCAGGGTTTTTTTCTGTCTCCTCTTCTAAAGGCCTATAAAAGGTAGATGATGATCCTATGGATGATGATTCTCCACCTTTGCTTGCCCTGCATGCCTTCATGTTATTGGTAGTGGTAGTGCACTCTTTTGATACTTTGTAATGTAAATTTTGATGATCATTAAATAGATAAGTGAAAGTTCACTTAACTGCCTTCTTTCCTTCTTGTCGGTATCCGTCTCTATGATGAACTTCGATTCACTGCGCAACACAGCTATAAACTTTTTAAGAAATTTTAATTCGTATGAAAGATATCTACAAAATATTTACAAGTTATAACGATTACAAGCATAATTTATACGGAGACGGTCTATCGTTATACATCTGTTAGATGCGTCAGCCGTTCAACTGATTACTTTTAGTCTCTTTCGCCAGAGGGCGTTCGAGGAAGTAAAGTTCTAGTAAGCAAACGTGACACTCCCACCTTGAGGTCCAGTATCAACAGAGGATGGACCTCAACTGACCTGTAGTTCGTCTTTTGAGATTTCGTCATACATCGAGTTCTGTACCTCACATATCTGACTCAAGTGTAAAGTTGAGTTCAAGAGGTATGAGGTTCTTAGTAGGTCTTATAATCTCCCCTTGTGCAGTTTTCAGTTTCACTAATCTAATGTATCCGTCGTGGGATGGAAAAATTTCCAGGATTCTAGCTAAGGGCCAGTTTATCCTTTTTCCGTTGTTGGACACAATTACAAGATCACCAACTTTCACAGAATATGGTTCGCGGATGAATTTGGAGCTTTGTTTTAGTTGCCCTAAATATTCTGATCGAAATCTTTTTCGTAAATCTTTTCTCAATTTGGCTCTGTAAAGGCATCTTTTATTGATGGATTTAGAATCCAAAAAATTTAATTCAGGAACTCCAGTCTCTGGAATTTCTGTTAGAAACATTGCTGGGGGTGAGAGCTCTTAAATCCTTTATGTTCTTCTGACAAATACATGCGTTAGAGGACGGTTGTTCATAATGCTCTCGCAGTCACAAATGATTGTCAACAATTCTTCGTAGTTCAGAGAAGATTTTCCTTTAGTACCTTTCAAAGAATTCTCTTTAGTACTCCAATTAATCTTTCCCACCACCCTCCCCAACCATGGCGAGGAAGGGGGAATAAATTTCCATTCAATTTTCTTAACTGTTGCATTTTCTAAGATAGAATTCCAATCTATGGTCTTAAACAAATTATTTGATCCAACAAAATTGGTTCCATTGTCGGAGTATACAGTGACAGGTCTACCCCTTCGAGCGATGAATCGCCTGAACGCGTGCATGCAGGAAACTTTCGGTTGATAGAGATGAGACTAGCTCTAAGTGAACTGCTCTATATATTGCGCAAGTAAAAATGACGATCCATGTTTTTTGGCCTCCTTTTAAAATTAAGGAACCCGTCAGATCAACACCAATAATCTCAAAAATTAAAGCATCTCTTATTCTGTCTTCAGGTAGTGACGCTTGAGGAATCTTATATGAATCAGAGTCGAACCTTCCACATCGTACACAATTTTGGATAACCTTGCGTACGGTCTTCCTACTCTTTATGATCCAATATTTTTCACGTAAAGCGCACATAACGAATTGTACTCCAGCGTGACTTAGCCTTTCATGTTCAGATTTGATCAGTTTTAATACTAGTGGATGTTCTGAGGGAAGTAAAACCTATTTAGAAGGTAAGTGAACTTTCACTTATCTATTTAATGCTCAAAAAATTTTAATAGTACAAAGTTGATAAAATTTTTAACAGCATACTTTTCATGTCTCCTGCTTCAAAATAACTTAATAACTCTACAATGTCAGTTCTTTGCTGTATAAATTATTTTTAAATCAAATAAAATAAGAGTCATTAGTAATATTTGCTGTCTGAATTATTTTAGTTCCATATGCACATTCATTATGTGCATATGGAATATGATGATATACACATTCATTTAGCTTACTATATATATATATTTATTTCATTACATTTAGCTTACTATATATATACACATTCATTTAGCTCATATATACACTAATATATACTACTAATATATTAGTGTATTTAATGCATGTAAATTAATGTAGTTATGTGTTACTTTCTGACATATTTTAAAATACAGAAATTTTCTGTCAAATGAGCCTTAAATTTTCAGCTTTCATCATAGATAAATTTCTTCCTGACGCATAAGCGACATCAGTGTTGTAACTGTGGTGGCATCTTGAACTAACAGAACTGTAAACAGATGTGCATGTAGACAATCAGTTGCACTCAGTAGAGTAATGAGCAGTAGTGTGATTTCATGTTTTAAGCAGGAAAACAGGTACTGAGGTATTGAAGTGTATGAAAAATGAGGTACTGAGTTATTGAAGTCTATGAAAAATGAGGTACTGAGGTATTGAAGTCTATGATAATTGTTTAAGTCATGCACTGATGTTTGAGTTGTTTAAATGTTAAAAGAAGGAACTAGTATTGCTAAAGGACAGTGCCAGAACAGAACATCCCTTTACAAGTTCATCTAATGGAAACACATAAAATTTGCGATCCTTTTAAAACTGACCATCATCTCTTATTCAGAGTTATCGCAGAAGACCTGAACAATCTCTAAATTAAGTGTTCAGGACATTATCTGAAATGTTTTGACGAAGAGAAAAGTGTTTGGAAAGTTTATCCTGCATTCCTTGACTCCCAAACAAAAAATAACAATATGCAGATGCCTGCTGCAGCTAGACTGAAGTGAAAAACACAGGTGGTCTATTCTGGGAAAAGTCATTATTGTTACTAAGACTTGTTATTATCAATATGAACCTTTGATAAATGACAAAGTGCAGAATGGGTCTATGATGATTTGCCAAGACCAAAGAACTTGTGAATGATAAATTCGAAAGTGAAGACAAGGCTCATCACCTTTTTTTATGCTCACGGCATTATTCACAAGAAACTTATTCCCCCCAACCATTGTAAATGGCTAGTTTTATGTAGGTTTCATAGATAATTAGTGTTAGGATGTTTATGTAGGTTTCATAGATAATGTAAGAGGATTCAACAGGTTCTTCTGAAAAGATGGAAGAATAAGATGAAAAAAATCTTCTTGTTACATGACAATGTGCTTGCTTGCGCAGCTGGACCTCTGGTGTAGTTTCTAGCATACAAATGTGTGCCAGTTCTTAACAACCCTCCATATTCACCCAATTTAGCACACAAAGTGACTCACTTGAAGAGTCAACACTATGATGGCATAACTAACTTTCAAGCCACAGTGTCATGCAACGTGAATAAAGGACTTTTCTGACAGTTTATATAGTTGTATTAATCTGTGCAATTGTACTCAAGTTGGAAGATGAGTTATCTGTGTAGATACCTGAAGCATTAAAACCTTCATCTAAGTTTTGTATGGTTTTTATGACTTAAACCCATTTCTCCACCACCATCTAGATGGTGGAGAAATGGGTTTAAGTCATAGTTGATCACTTATAATTGTCAACAGTGGTGAATTCCATGCTGATGAATCAGAGTTCAATTCCTGGATAAGATATCTATATTTATAACTGCGAGGTTTATACAAAATGAGAACATTTAAAATGTATTGCACTAAAAGTCTTGGTGAGTTGATAGTGGCAAATGAAGGCTTGAAGATGGATTTCATCGCATGCAATGTTCAATAACAAAACTGAAATTTAAATTTAATCACTATCAGAGCTGGCCATATGGTTGCTGTTGTCCCAGGCAAGTTGAACTGTGATGCCCTATTTAAGTATAGTTATAAAACTTTTCATGAGGAAAAAACTAAAAATATAGAAATGAATTTATATCTTGGTTGTTTTTTTAACATGCAATGAGCAGTATTGTTACGAATTTTGTATTTAGATAACTAATATCAATAAAATTATATCAATAGAATTATAATTAAAATTTTGCCCGTACAATGCAGCACAAGACAAATATTAAGAGAAAGCTACACTGGAAAGTAAAAATGCAAGAGCATGTGCATTTAACATTTAATAAATGGTTATCTCTTTAATTTGTATTGAAATTGTATAAATGTAATTGACTACTGTGTTAGCTGTAACCATAATTCCTTCCTCTTGTTGGTTTCCCAGAAATCTTGAGAAGCAAAGAAATTACTAAAACTCTCTCATAACTGATTGAAAGCTATAAAAAGCCAGAGAGAGAACATCTCAGTTCACTTGCTTAGTCACTGTTAATGTGATTTTTGACAACATGTACCCTACCTAAGACATCATACCAGGCATTTATTGCAACAAATTATTGAATTTGTTCTGAACATATTTACCACTCTAGTGAACATAAGTTTCTTTAGATACAGTCTGATGTAAATGTTCACTCATTGTTAGATTTTCCAAGTAGCTCAGCAAAATGTAAAATTATTTTAGAAGTCAAACTACAAAAATCAGCATTATATTTGCAAATCAGATAAGAAAGGCTAGACAGG